GATCTTCATTAATACTTTAACCTTCTTTTCCACCGAATAATAAAAAGTATTCTAACATAAAGTACGTCCAGGCTCTGAGGAAGGCGAAGTCGCCGAAACGTTAGCCATCGTTCAATAACATCAAAAACAACGACAACGACAACGACAACGACAACGAAGATCTGTACCAACCTCGCGTCAGCTTAAGAAGATCAGTTTATAAGATCACATAAATAAATATATCAACTATTTATGCCGAGGTTCATAGAAAGTCGGTCTTTCGAGTTATTAAGACGCTAGTTTAGTTGACACTACGAACGTTGAACAGCATTCTCTTAGGTAAGCATTATGGCACATTCCATGAAATTTATCTCTGTAAGCGGAAGAATCTCCATAACGAGTTCACCATCGCGTTCGCATTTCGCTTAAGCTCAGTTAACAAACGCGCTCCAACCGGTATGCAGCAAAATGAATCAAGATGTCTACCAACACAAAGGGCAGGTTATGGTACTAGAATCCACAGTACGAGCATCAGGTACACAGAAAAAGAGCTTTCGTCACTGATTCTGACATAATCTTCGGCTCTATTTACGCATGGCATTATATCGAGTGTATGTTTATCAAACAACCGGATTCTCAAAGTGCCACATCTCAGCGATTTTTCTAATGAAGCGCGATCTTTAGGGCCGTGGAAGATCAACATCGATCCATAAGGAATTGATTAATTGATTGATTGGTGATCAATTATAACATGGAATTGATCTCACAATACAGCCTATCCGAAATCAAGCTTATTTGGAACTCACTCTTCACAATATTATTTGTAAAAACTACTGTATTCTGGTCATACTGGCAACATACCCGCTGCGAGTCGAACTGATTCGTGCCGCTCTGAAGTGGCACGATCGCATCAGTCTGTCTTAGTTGTCGTAGGGTCCATTTCCCTGTAGTAACAACTCACTTTTTGTGTCAGAAGCAGATATCATCATTGAAATATAGCATAGTGTACGAAAAAGTTACGACTCGTGCATTACCCACACCCTTTAACTTTCCGAACGTATCACAAAATGTTATGGCCGTTGAAATATTCGAGTAATTCAGCTGAAAATCTACTGACTACTCAACTTGGAGATGTTTGCTATCATAATCTTACATTCAAAACCTCGAAATTGTTTGTGATTATGAAGAGAAGAGCCAAATTTTACAATTCAATGCAGGGAATTGTGATAAACCTGTTTCTAGTGCTAGGAAAGTAGCGATAAAATTCCTTACCATCACGTGTCCTTTTCTCGTTTTGATCGGTGCTTGGCACCTCAACGGCAGCGATTTTTAGCGCTGATTCTAAACATTCTGTATATGAATTCAATTTACGCATTATACCATAAAGATCAAAGTATTTGGTGTTAATAAATCTCTCACGGATGCGAAAAGGATTCGACTCCATTAAGAATCGTAAATGTGCTTCGATGTATATTTGCTCAATACAATGACTTTTAGATTCATCGTGATTCACCAAAAATGTGTTCTTACACTCTCAGACAAGTCTGACACCAATTCATCGAATACTGAGTGTTAAGAGTCTGGTTGTTTGAAGGTAACGGATCAAGAGACGGAGAGATACGTTTCAGGGAACCTCTATCAATTTCCATACATACACTCTCTATTAGATCTACATGAAGACAACTTATTCCAGACTATTGTATCCAGATGAAATGTTCCATGGACTTATGCCACGTTCGAGCCAGATCAGAGTTTTTTTTTTCATAATGTTACGTAATGTTGGAATCTGAAGAGATTATAATAGACAAGACAAAAGTACGAACTTAGGTAACCGTGTTATCTAACTTTTCATCCAAGAAAAAATTGCATCGCCATGGCTCTTTGTACTGCTCATAATTTGAAGATTACTTGAGGTAAGGATGTACAAGAATAATCTCTCAACATTGTTATTCAAATTAAGAACTCTTATGCAAGCTATGTAAACAAAAAATTAGTTTTCATCTCAGCCTACTCTGGAAAATCAGGAAAGATAGGTAGGATGGACGACAAATTCGCTTCCTTCGCACAGGATTCAGAAGAGGAAAGAGCACCGAAAGGAATCGTTTCCTCTATATCCGTCTATCTATCTATATTTGTTGTTAAGATATTTATGTAGAGTTCAGCAATTGAGAAAAAAATTCTCACCGGTAGCGACAGCAGTGTGTGGTGCAGCCATGACACGAACTGACTTACCTTCCTCAGCTTCCGGCATCTACGACCTCTCCGATATTTCGCCCTGACAAACACTGTTATGCTCTCTCGCACTCATTTTCTCAGCGATTCGTTTGCACTGATCTCCACCGAGTAATCCCAAGTGGGATGAGTTTTCTTCGATTCCTCGTAGTCTGAGCCTCGTTCCCTGCTCTGTGCTTCCCGTTCGTACGCCACGCCCAACACCTCCACAGCACTTGAAATGAGTCACTCTGAGCATCTGGTGTCGCGTTCAGACTAATGGGTATTTCCTAGACATTTTCCAATGATTTTTGCCATGGGGCAAACAGCTGGCTTGTTTATGATTTCATCAAGTTGCAAAACAACGTTTCCATGAGGAAACCGAGACGACAGTGAGAAAGAGGGTGTTAAGGGCGACTCAATCAATTCAGAAAAAGACAGGCACTTTACTAGTGAAGAATGGAAAACAGCTACTGTAAATTATCAGGGCTAAAATTGTAGTGGTAAAAAGACTATTACTAGATCGAAGAGTCGTTTCCTATCTGACATCTTAACCATAGCCAACATAGCTCACAATAATGTTCACCATCGCAATCGGCTCATACCTAATCACGTTGGCAGTACCCTATATCGATATTCTTCTACCGATAACCTTTCGGAGAATTGTTAAGCCACAAATTGATCTCCATTAATCCTCAGGCAGCTCAATAATTGGTTAGATTCAGAAAACTGCATGCGAACATAATATGAATATTTATCATCGTCGACCGTCCTTTAACCTCTGCATTAATAATCAATAATTTCCTGGATTATTAAACTGACACGAGGTTTATGTATTTGCAAAACAATTTTTCCTTTGAAGCTAAGGTTTGATTTCATAGGGCACCTTAGCTGCTCACCGTTTGATGGATTTCCAGCAACTTTAGTTGAAATTCGAAGAAATCTCAATATTTAATTCGTGTAAGCCGTGTAAGTTCGCCCATTGCATACGCGTCTGCACAGTTTCCAGGATGTCCAGAACTTTTTCCTATTCCACCATATCAAGTAAGACCCGTATAGAAGTACTGCAGATGCATCGTAGACCTTCAATGCCATCAGTTAACAAACTTTGAAAATCATAATGCATCTTATTCTTAAATAGGTGGAACGTACCGAACTTTCATGTGAGTTTTCTATGTATGTTGTTCTAGCAATAAAGTAGTTGCGTTTAGCTAGCTAGACATTAAAATAAGGTATGGGTGTGATGGGTTTCCATTGTGACAAAAATGAGGCTAATTAGTTGGAGATGATGCCTAGCTGCCTTAAATGCAGCATCCAATCGACTGCACAGGCTTTTATCCTTATCGTCTACAGGATGCTCTCTACGCAAACGCATACATACCAACGTACGTATGAAGACGTCCAACATGCAAAAGGTATGAGCTAATGATACAGAACAGGAGAGACAGAAAACCCATATACTGAATCAATCCGCACCCTAGATCAAATACATAGTTACTTTTGGTCCGTGTTTAACTCCTATCTCACTACTCACTCACGTCGTGCGTAACGCGTAGCCTCGCTGCTTATCAGTTTGGGATACCGGAAATACGCATGCACATACGGGAAGAGAACAAGGACTCAAAAAATTCTGAAAGAAAAAGAAACAAGGCAATGCATATTTTTCCAGCTTCATCTCCGTAATCAACAACAAAGCTTTTTAAATCACTCCTGTGTACTCCACAAGGCTGTTCGCCGGGTCGAGTATCAGCTCACTAAGTGTTCACTGGCAGGAACTGATGAATGATATCTCACGCACTATATCTCCCTTTTGTTTTTTTGACCTTTGACTATTCGCATATTGTTGCATAAAACAGTTGCTTGGAGACAATGACCAGTAATCGACGGTTAAATTATAAAGGTTGAAAGCAAGTGTCTTTAAACCGTGCACTAAAACTTAGCAGGCTTTAAAATTTTTCCCTACGACTCGAAACAAACCACTCATAACAATTTTAGGTGAAACCATGCTAATTTGAAGCGTAGAATTTTTTATTTTTACTTATGCACACTTTCGAGTTCAATGGCTGGTCAATATGGTGAATCGGAAGACATGAAACGAACCATGTTAAAGAGGATAAGCAGCACATCACATACCGAAGAACAGCTGTTCCTAGACTTTCTCTCAAGAAACACAGCAGAGCTCACGTGAGAACAAAGGGTGGGTAAAAGTGGTCTGGGTGGAGCAATCTCCTATGGATGAATAACGCACTCTACTTCACCAAAGATCGTTAAAAGTGAGTGAGTGCATACCTGACCTATACAGTGACCTCCGGTAGCCTACAATTGCATCGAGTACGTGCTGCTATACTCCCAGATAAGTCTGGTACGAATTTAACGACACCAGAGCGTTAAAAGACCTGGCGAGCACTGAGCACGGGATCAAGCCAAGAACCTTGTATGTACCACCGAATACCTCTCACCACTTCGGTGTACACGTCAGTGTAAATAGCCCACATTATCGGGAACAAGTTAAGAATCTTTAGTGGATTGCTGTCAGTATGCTTCCTGGTTATTCCTTTAACTAAAACAAAAAAAAAACGAAAAACAAGCAAGAAAAAGAGGATTGAAAAAGAAGATAGACAAGAGGCAGCAAACGAAGTAGTGAACCACCTAAGCTAGTTTCGATACCATTAATTGGTCTCATTTCTAACCATGCTGCCACGTAATTTCTACCTTATTTGGTTTTGCTTGTCAAATTGTTTTCTGTTTCAATTTGCTTTCTCATATTAAATCACTAGTCTGTTGTAGAATCTATTCATATTTTCAATGTAGCTTCTTGCTCATTCTTTTACCTCTGCCTGTCGATTCCGTTGTCGCCTTGACGACTACAATGTTTAAAATTTTTGATATCGTCATATCATTATTGCTGTATTGTTATTGCTGTAGATGATTTAATTAGCCAATTTTGAGAATTGCTCTGCTGCAATAGCAGAAAGTCCCACGTGACAAATGCGTACGAAGTCCTGCGTTCTATCTCGAAACGTGAATATTGGATACTGGCAGCTAGCTCGAACTGCTGCATTTCGTGGTGCAAATCACTATGTTCCTCCTAACGGTGTACCGCCTCACTGTAGCTGGGAGGTGTTTCTGGGTGTCGGACTGTGTACATGGGAAATTCGTCCCTCGGCAAGGTCTCCCAAGCTGAGAAGGAGTCCGGCGTTTCCATCAGAAAGCCTAGCTAAGAGTAAACCAATATCAGGACCCACCACCGTGCTGGTATCAAAGTTGCATGATGGCAAATCTCCCTCTGATCCACCAGGGCTGCGATTGTCCGTGGTAGTGAAGACCTGGGGCAGATTTTGGTCAGACTGACCTCAGGATTCCAGGGAAACACAATGGCTTAACCAGCAAATCTCCGAAAAATGGTAATTATGATGGGGCCCGCACAATTAACGAGGACGGGTTGTTCAAGTACCAACTAAGTATCAAATAATCACTATATTTGGATAATAGGTTAAGATATTTACTGCATGGGTAGATAGCACAGTGGTAGTAATATCCATCATCACGAACATGGTGCTAGTTCGATTCCGCTCCAGGCCAACAAGCCTCCCATATATTTGGGTTCGGAAAATTGTTACCGGACTTGTCCGGGAAAAAATCACTCTCTGCAATTTAATTGGGAACGCTCCAGCCCGGGTATCTAGAGAGAGAATGGACTCGACCAGCATTCTACGGTATTCAGAGTGAAATGAAACTTCTTAGACAGTGGCCGGAGCCACAGGTTAACGCTGGAAGATCTTCGTGGATAATGTATGCGAAGTAATGGATCGAATGTAAGAAGTGCTGGGATCCGCACAGTAAACGTGAAGACGGGTCATATAAAATAAAAAAATTTGCTGTGCTGTATCCAATTTTTTATGAGAGCCCTGTCTATACGCTAGTAAATCCGATGAATCAAAGAGAGCTTTTGTCTGGAGACAGGCATAGCATCGAATGTTCGTTTAGGGTTCCGCTGGATAGAGATCAACAGAAAATGTTGATGGTGAAGCAGTTTCTCCCTATGGACCATAGTTTTAAAAGATGGATTTCAAACGAATCGACAAGGAATTGAATTCGATCGAAAAAAAATGCTGAAGCCTTTACTTTTCAATGTTCCGCTATGAAATATTAGAAGATCATAAGCGTTTTTTGGTACGCCAGAAAGTCTAGGATCGAATAGGACGGACACATGGCATCTTAGCGGCAACTGAACAGGCGCGACTGGCTCCTACTGAATGTTAAACACACAACTTGGAAAACCATCGATTAATCAGATTTATTCTAGTAGATCCTGGGTATAGAAGTATAATATTCTCCATGCACCTTGAACGAGTAAAACCATCTCGGGAATTTTGGAACCTGATGAGGACAAATGGAGACTCTATCCGAAGATTAGAACAAGTTCGATCTCTTTTATGCTCTGTGGAGCAATACCTACTTATAACAGAGCTTATTTTTGCGACTGGATGTCAAATATGAAACTTCCGATAACTAAGGTGAGGTAGAAGGCCCGGGCAATAGTCCCTACAGATATTAAACACCACTAAAGCAGCCCTGATAAATGCATTCCTGCAAAATTAAATCAAATTTTCATCATTAAGAACAAAGGTTTAAGTCACCAACTAAAAACTCTATAACAGATAGGGATTTGATTTGGTTTTTGGCGACAGAGCGAGTTGTTCCGTCGACCCCCAAAATTCGCTATTGGCTTGAACAATTTTCGCAACTCGTTCATTAGATTGTCAAGGATCTCAACTCCTACGAGCTTTAAAAATTGTACCAGCTAATATTCACCAGCTACTTGCCATCTGAGCAAAAAGGAATGAAAGCCATTCATGTTCTTAAAGAAAACACTGCAATTGTCCCTGATTAGCAACTCCATTTTATTTTTGATCAGGATTAATAGATGTATCCATCTTTCAGATACCACTACACCCGCATTTATTCCAACTCCAGAATATGCTGCCGATAAGACGAGAAAATGCAGAGCATAATGAAATTTAGAGTTTCGGACTTGAGGGAATGGTATAGTTTAAGTGGTTAGAGGACGTTCGTCGCACATTGCTTCAGATCGAGGCCACACATTGAGAACACCTTATAAAGAAATGTATGGAATTATTTGCTGTAGGGTCTCATCTCAAGAGTAGTGGAACACTTCGTGGTTGTTCTGGGCAAACAAATAGAAGTATTTCCTAACCGTAACGTTTTCATAGCCCATATAACTCTCGTTCCTCGTAGTAACCTCGTTTTTCTTGCTGGCACAAAGCACGCTCGCAAAGCTAGATAAAACTCCTTCAACAGTATAGTGCTGTACTACAAAAGCTTGCCAAAACGACTCGGAAAAATGTGAAGTTGAATCTACTGTCATTCTGTTTCATTCATCCGCTGCGAAGTCGTATTACGATTGTGAAGTATACAGTAGAATGATACGCTTTGATGATTCGTTGACGACTTACAGCACAAGTTGTGGGATAGTAGTTGCTTCATTAAGAAATAATGTATAATGTTTGCGAACCAAAATCGGAATTGAATATGAAAAACTAGAGTTGCGAAATGAGTACCCCAAACTGTGAATTGATATTCGTGTAGATCGAAAAGGTGTACATGAAATGAGTGGAGTGGTACGCAACCGCAGAAAACTGAAGTATCGAAATGTAGAACTATCAAAATTTCCGAGCCTGAGAAGACAGTGGTTAGAAATGCCGCCCAAAGATATAGCAGTTTCCTGTCCATCAAGGTTAAACCCGAAAACTAACGGGTTGCGTTAAGTTCGCAAATGAACTTTACCTTACTGCAGCTTATTAGGAACTCAGGAGTAACGTTGTCCTTGGCTCCTTGGCTGTCCATTTACTATTCCCACCCACTACGAGTGTTCCACTCCTCAGCACTTTACGTGTCACAACACTCGCTCAGTACATTCGGAATGGCATCGTTATTGCCTCGGAGACTAAACTGCGCAGGGAGGTTACACCATACACAGTGACTGCAGGAGGCATCCAGAGCAGCTCGTAACAGCGACTATTATAACGTCGGAATCTATGCTCCGTATCTCACACCGGCAATTCGAGCACAAATGAGTGAGAATGATTGTTAGAAATTTGAAAAACATTTTAAACGAAATTTTGTGTCCAGGTTTATGTATGCAAAGGTGGTGGAGAATTACGACTCGAAACTATTTGAACTCAATTTTTTACTATTTTATCAGCTTGGTCGCCACTATTCATAGTAACGAGACACAATATCAATTAGTTCGATACTCTCACAACAGTTTTCTAATGAGAAGTGAAGTGATTAGCCTACTCCATGATGAAGCTTCGCAGAAACTGTGAGAAGCAAGTCGGTATATTTCGCAATTGAATCCCGTTGAAAGTGCATTTAAACTATTACACCAGCTCCTCAAATTTCATCCCCTGATCGCCTTTCTCTTCAAATGTTTCTGTTGTTTGAGCGGAAAGCGCAGTGGTTAAAGACACTTTTCACAAGTAAGGTCGCTGGTTCAACACTCTTTCCAAGCCAATAAAACAGTTCACCTCCACACCGTCCTCCCCCTCCCCTCCTTAGCCCTCCTTTGGCTCGAAAAATTAAAACCAGCAGATTTACCTGGGAATGGATCCCTCTGATCCACAAACAATGGTGACAGCCTTTTGTGAAGAACTGTAGGGATCCTAAGAAAGTTACCCCGGCATTCTAGGGAAGCATTCAAGCAACATTCAGCGAAATTTATTAAGAAGATCAAATCCTTAAGCAACGGCCGAATCTACGTAAGAAATCCAAATACCTTGTGAGTGAGGGATACACGAAAACGATTTGGATGAAAGAAGTGCTTGGATCCGCGCAACATCTGACATTGGGTGGTGCAGACAAACAAATAAATGAATAAAAAAAGCAAGTAAATAAACAAAGTAGGTATAAAGTAGTAAGTATAAATAATATAGGAAAGATATACGATCAGTTTAGCCATTTGCAAAGAGGTGTTTGTCGTGAACCAAATATTCAAATTTCGACTCGAAATCGTGTATCTTGGCTGCTTTATAGGAAATACGCTGAAGCACATTGCACAGTTCCCACAGGAAGTGAGGTTTCATGAAACCGCACCTTATTCGATGCATAACGAAACTGAAAAATAGAAAAGTCTGAAGTCTCTGTCTGCTCATTCCTGTACCTTTCCAAACAGCTTTCTGAAGCTTTATGGTTTTGTGAAACTCTCTCCTCAAAACGTTTTCCACGTACTGAATATGCTTCCAATGATACCAGGATGTTCCACGTTTCATTAAAATGAACACTACCAAGTAATCAGTGTGAAGTGTGATAGAGATAAATACTTATCATACAGGTATACTTGCAAACAGATGGGTATGGTTACTATTTCAGTTGCTTAGCTTGCTCTCCTAAGAGGTGGTTCTCAATACCCTCATCTTCTTTGAAATCGTCGTCAGACGTCATTGACGTTCATAATCAACAAAAATGGTACTCAGTGAGAGAGAATCTGGAGATTCCGGTCAGTTAACACGAAATAATTCGTTGACTTGAAAATCTGACCTCTGCCTGTACTAGGCGGATTGGTATTGAAGGGATTAGAGTGAATAAATGGAGAAAAATAAAGCTTTAGGAATTCATTCCCCCGATAATCTATCGTCTTCGCCACGAAAAACATCACCATCAAGTTCTTCGCGAATTACTGGATCGCCTAGAGATTTGTCACCCTTACTGTTACAGGTCAGTCGCAAATTCTCAATACAACTAGATAGATAAAAGCACACATCGATATCAGCAGCTAGACCTCTTACTTTGTTTCAGTAAGTCTATAATGGCTTAGCAGACAAATACGTATACCACTTAAAAGCTTTTATCAGATCGCTCACTTCCTTCTTCAGGAGCTCGCATGTATGAACGTTCGTGAAGTGGCCGCTCGGCCAGGAGTTGGTCGGATCGGTCGTCCTATAGCGATTCGCTCAAATTTCTTTGAAATTGACTTAACAACCGCAAATATGATGGTAGTGCAGTATCATGTTGAAGTGCATCATCCAGGAAGCCGAAAACTTGATCGGTTTGTTTCTTATCGTAATTCAACAATCATATCTTCGTAGTTAAATTGCAAGCTCGGTAGTCGATTTGTGTTTTTCAACTGCCACGGGTTCTGTCATCATGCCACCACCACATCAATATGACCTAATTAAAGGGAGAGTCATTACGATTGAATAAAAGCGTGACTAAATTTAAAGCAAACTTTTTCTGAGATTAAAAACACATAAATCAGCTGAAGTAGAGGATAGAATTATGATAAGGAAGAGTGTGGTGCGCACAAGTGGTAACCGCTTAGTAAGGAATATTGAATAGACGAATACAAGTAAGAACAGAATAGGAAGCAGAGACAGAAAGTCAAACAAAAGTGTGAAGGAAACAAATTCCAGTGATGAAAATCGTGCAATTTTCTGGAAAGTTGTTGCTGATCATCCTTTTGTATTCATTAACAAATTTGCTGTTGCCTTCGACGGTGCTCATCAACTCTATACACCTTTTCGGCTTCAGTTCCCCGACGGGAGAAGTAGCGTATGTTTCAGTTTATTTAGACGTGAATCGTTTATGATGTGGAATTTCTGCGTTACATGGTGACACACCAGGTGATCATCCCACGATACTCAAGTTACCATGTTGCATGGCAAGCAGATCTCAATTTCTCTCTATGTCCAATTTATGAGACAAGGCTGAGAATTATTTTCCAGAACAAATATCAGATATTGCATGTATTTTCTTCAGATCCGACTTGAAACAGATGTATCACTCGCTAAGGATTCCCGAGAATGGACGCCTTGTGCAGTAACCATTCAAGTTCAGCGTTACCTTTTCATAAGAAAAATCTCAGAACACGAATTAATAAAGGCATGTTTCCAATGTTTTAATTTCAGTGTGTGGGTCCGGTGCTTATCGAGATGCGACGCACCCGTACGAATAATCTTGACGAACGCGTGTTGACTCCAATCCAGATCCTGGATATTGTCTGCCGTCAGAGTCTAACCTGCCCCTTTATAGAGTATGTTCTATGCAATAAATTGGAAATTTGTAGTAATTCAGTAAATGTGATAGTTGTAGTATGGAGTACCTCCCACCGGCTTACCGTGCTATTGTAGCTAGGACGTGTTCCTGGGTGCAATGTACAGCGGGAAAATTCATTTCCCTAGCATGGCCTCCTAACCTGAGGAGGAGTCCGGCATTTCCATCAAGAAGCCAACTAAGGGTAAAATAATGCCTGGATCCACCACCGTCCTGGTACCAAAATAGTCGCATGGTGGCAAATATCACTCTGACTCAGAAGGGCGGCAACTACTTGTGATGGCGACGACCTGGGGCCGGCTTTGGCTAGGCTGACCTCGGGACTGGAATCCACGGTAGTTAAACCAGCAAAACTCCGAAAAGATGGAAATTACGCTGAGGCCCGCACAACCAGTGAAGACGGGGCATCCAAGTATCCAAGTGAGTAAGTAGTATGAAGTAAAGCAGTGAGGGACGCCATGCCGTACATCTAAGGCCGGTGGTTCAGCTGGTAATATACTTCAGTGAGAAAAGCTTCCGGTTCAAAACAATTGGAAGTCTGGCTGTGTTGAAGATCTTCGAAGGCCCATGCACGGCTATCCGATGAATCTAGAGAGTATTAACTCATCCTGTCTTTGAAAACAATCATGAACAAGACAAGTTGCCTAAGTAACAACCGAGCCCTTATGGTTTGTAAATGAAGGATACAAAACGATGAAATGAATGAAAGAAATGCTGAGATCTGCGATATAGTTAAGCAGAACATTCGCAACTAAAGCTTCGCAGGATTTCATCAAATTCTGGCTTAGATCAAATAACAAACAACTTGACCAAATACGTGGCAACCTTTAATTATGAAACATTTGAAAAACGAGGCTCGTTGATGATAAAAACTTAACCTTCCGGCAAATGTTGGGCAACAGCTATTTTGATCATCTAAAGTCTCGCCTGCAAAATATTGTACGAAATTTTTATTTCAAATATTACATTGTGTTTCTAATCTAAAATTCAACGCTCAGCTGAACTATTGAGACGCATGTAGTATGATTGTTAGGGGTGCCTTATAATAAATGCTTAACCATTGTTTCAATTCCGAGCGCTGAACTAAGCCCTCCAGAACTAAGAAAATTGGTTCCAAACCTGCCTAAGAGGACAAAAAAACCGATTTGGTGCATCGGTAGGCCTTCACAAGTCATCGTGTAATTCAAATATGTATTAAGTCACTTCCGTGATGCTTAGTGGAGATGAAGGGGATATTAAAAGAAGACTGCATAGCTTGTTATGGTATCTTTTCCAGGGTCTGTATAAAAGTTGCGCCCATTGCTGAATCGATACACATGGGTTCCATTCGCGCGCCCCTGGCCCACCAAGCCTTCTATCCCTCCGGGGTCGGCAAATTGGTACCAAACTTGTCTGGCTGGAAGGCAGCATTGGCTTGGTACACCGGTAGACTACCACGAGTAATCGTAAAAGCCAAATATGTATTCAATCACCTCCAAACTGTGTTTAATGGAGTGGAATGAACGGCGCATTCCTAAGCGATTGATCCACGCCGAGAGCTCTTTTATTGTAAGTACTAATTAGGAATTTGAAAAAATGGAACCACTAAAATAAATTCCATTAACCAGTAATAGAATTTTTAACTGTGAATTTCTGCAATTATTGGTTGCATCATATTTCTATACACTGCTTTGAAGCAACGCCGCCAACTTCTACTCTTGGAAATCATCATGCTACCGTATTCCTATCAATGGAGCGTTGGCTCTCGACTTGGAAGGTGGTAAAGAGATGTGGACCGGCTTTTTCTCTTCGGCACATGTGGCTAGCGGATGGAAACCGCTTCTAAACATTGACGGTATGGCTTTTCTGCTTCACTCCATCAAATACAATTTATTTTCTTAACATTTTTCCAGTCGCGCATACCGCATTTTACAAGGCGAAAATATCGATGGTGCAGTTCATGTGCGACGTACTTAATGAACGTGCCGGTGCATATCGTAATGCGACGTCCACCACACGTAGCAGCTACAGTACGACCAGTCAATCCGGACGTGGTTGCTGTTCAAGTCGAGGCGGTACGGCAACAAGTACTGGGCGCGGTGGTTATCATACTTACCCGACCAGAACTAGCCAAACAACCACGCAAAAGCCTGAAGAGTCACCAATAGTGCTCACAGTGAGTTCTAGACATCTCATGAGACCACAAGGTTACGATCGTCTGATTAATCATCGAATATCGTTACAGCCCAGCTCATTATACAAAGAGTTCTCGTTGTCCAATCACGAGACCAAAATCCTTGCCGAAGCAGTGAAGGGTATTAAAATCAGAATCTCACATCGAAAAGGCGCTGTCCGAGTCTATCGCGTTAACAGCCTTCAGATGCCGGCTGATCAGCTTACGTGAATGTTCCCTTTATAAACAATATTTTCCAAAATATAATACAATTTTGCGGTTTTCTAGATTCAAAGGTATCACAGAGGATGGCAGTGAAACGATTAAATCAGTGGCTCAATATTTCGCCGAAAAATACTCTGTGAGCAGGTTGCCACCAATTTTGGTAAACTCAGCGGAATGGAACCATCCATTCTCAGACTCTCACACCATATAAGACTTCTCCATTTATACACCATTCAACAGTACCTAAACAGTTCTGCTACCCATGAATCTAAACAGGCCGTAAAAAATTTCATGCGAGTAGAACCGTCCACGATCTTTTGTTAGTTCAGGAATTGAGCTTCCCGAAACTTCCCTGTCTTCACGTTGGTCCACCCAATCGCAACATCTTTTTCCCACTTGAAGTTTGCGAATTGGACACACCACAAAAATACAACAAGAAACTGAGTGAAAAGCAAACAAGTTCCATCATTAGAGTAAGTTTTTCAGAGACATGCTAATCAAGGATAAATTCTCTACACCCTTTGTTCTTAAGGCTGCAGCAGTCGACGCATCGCAAAGGGAAGAGCGCATCTCTCAGCTTTGTCAACAGGCTGGCTTCGATCGCGATCCATTCCTCAGGGAATTCGGGCTGACAGTCTCGCCTAGAATGTTTGAAACGATTGCAAGAGTTATTCAACCACCTCAGATAATGTTCGGTGACAACACTAAAATGGTGGTAAGCTCTCAGTTTCTAAAACGTGCTCTTGTATGAGAACTGATCTCTTACTCAAGTAAAAACTGCGTTAGGATCCCATTGTTAACCCGAAGGACGGAGCATGGTCAATGGATAATCAAACACTATATATTCCTGCAACCTGTGGTAGCTATTCGATGATTGCTTTGGTGAATCCGCGAGATCAAAACCTCTTACAAGGATTTTGTCAGGCGCTTTACGCAAAGGTACGATTAACGACGTTTTTTCAAACTCGGAGGTTTCTGCAGTGCTTCATTTTATCTTACTCGAAATGAAAAGTCATAGATAGAGACGCTCATTGCGCAAAGAAGATTTTAGTAGCTAAAAGTTGTCCAGAAGTACTTTTGTTGTTCGGTGACAACACTAAAATGGTGGTGCTATGTTTTACCCTGATCTCATCAATTAGCGAGTTGGCTCTAGTAAAACATTTTCCTTAAGGCGACCCAAATGGGCATGGATTTTCCAAAATGGCCCGATCTCGTCAAATACGGAAGAGGTCGTGATGATGTCGTCATCCTTTTCAACGAGATTGCCAATGAATACAAGCAAACCAGCACCAATTGTGATCTTGTCATAGTGGTGCTCCCTGGAAAGAGCTCAGACATTTACAGTTAGTTTCACAAGTATGAGAAAACGTCACCTAAACCTCATAGGGCACTTTTTCAGTGACTGTCAAGGAGAGCTCGGACATGATTCATGGCATAATGTCTCAATGTGTGTTAATGAAGAACGTTCAGCGACCTTCCCCAGCCACCTGCTCAAACATAATTTTAAAGGCTAGCATTTCCTAACAAAGCCCTTCTATTTTTCATTCAACTGATTTACGACTAAATGGAATTGATTCAAATGCATACAGGGCTTGAAATAGCTCAGTATTAATTCCCAAGACCGACTTTCTGTTAACCTCGGCAATGATTGATAATTCGATGTTTTTCTTCAATAAGCAGACACGAGGTTATTATTATAGAACAGTCCTTGCCCATGAATTACTCTGCGCGGCTTCTATCCACCAGCTAACTGAAATACTTACAACGAATAAACAGCTCTGAAGAAGGTAAAGCCGCTGAAACATCAGCTATTGTATACTAATAAATTCCATAATAGCAAGTTCAGTTTTAGCTTGTTTAGAAATGAATGAGTGTTTTTGAGTATATTGTTTGAAATTTCATAACTTACTTTACACAAAATTCTATCAACCAAAATAAAAATCATTTGAGTCTACAGATTTTTGCCAACGACAAACAAGTCTATTAATTTCAATTGCGCAGGATTCTGGAGTTTTGGAAGCGGTGAATTCGTTAAAAGCATTTTTTGCGTCATCGTGGTTGGTGGAGCATTTCTCGCGCAGGAAGTCGTCTAACTGTTTGAAGAAGTGATAGCTGGTAGGCGGGAGGCCTGGTGAATATAGCGGATGAGTTTCGTAGCCTAACTCGTTTAACTTCTGCAGCGCTGGTTCTGCAACGTGATGCCAGGCGTTGTCGTGGAGGATTGGTCCTTTTCTGTTGACTAATTCCGGTCGTTGTTGTTGGAGTTTACGGTGCATTTCGTCCATTTGCTGGAAACACGTCTTTGCCGTAATCATTTCGCCCGGATTCAAGAAGCTGTAATGAATCAGAGCTCCTGCAGGCCACTAAATAGTCACCATAACCTTTTTTCTGCAATTTCGGCTTTGGGAACCGCTGTGGAGCCCGATCGCAGCCCAACCAATAAACTGAACGTCGCCGGTTTTCGTACAGAATTCATTACAATTCGATCATGAAAAAGGTCTTTTTTGTTGGGCAGAATAAGAGCAGACGACACTTCAAAACGGCGATGTTTTCACTTTTCGTTTAAATCGGGCAGCACCCAATTGCTGAATTTTTTGTTATCTTTTCTATCTGATTAAAGTAGATGGAAATTCAAAAGATCGACTTTCTATGAACCTCTGAAAAATTGTTAATATAATTATTTATACGGTCTTATAAACTGATGTTTTTGAGGTGATACGAGGTTGGTACAGGTCTTCGTTGTCGTTGTCGTTGCTGTTGCGTTGCTGTTGGCGTTGTTAGCTAAAACCTAACTTAGAGTCTTGAAACTTTAAACGTCAGCCATCGACCAACAATACCAACAGAAACGACGACAACGACGAAGACCTATACCAACCTCGCATCAGTTTAAAAAGATCCGTTTATAAAAATATGTAAATAAGTGGAAACCTATGCCAAGCTGTTCTTCAAGATCTCGAACAGACACCCGCGTGTTTGCTTCCACTAGTGCTTTTGATTCGTCGTCGTCAAGTTCACTGGGACGTCGGCGGCTTTCCTTATCGTCGTGGTCGAAATCACCAGATCGGAATTTCCGGAACCATGTTCGCACTGTTGATTCACCAACACTACCTTCACCACCCCAAACTTCGTTAATGTTTCGAGCCGTCTCTGCTGCACTGCGACCGAGTTTGAACTCATAAAAGAAAATTTGACGAGAATTCGTTTGTGACATCTGAAATTGCCAAGCTCAAAATTGGTAAAGGAAAATTTAACTTTTATCAAAACATAAAGATCTGTTAGAAAGAACATAAAATCGGCTTTCTAATATATTACATTATTGCAAGGGATAAAAAATATTTTATTGTTAGAAAATATAAACATTTTAAAACGCTCATTTATTTCTGAACAACCTACCAGCATTTTAACCGAGCGGATCTCAACCAACAATGAAAATTATTGGTTAAAATAAGAACCACTAGGAACTTTAGCTGTTTGCCAGTAAAGTCCAAGACCTTTCATTTTGCCGAGATGAAATCCTGAATTTCTGGAGCATACGAACCCTATTTTTTGCTTTTTTCCATTAATACTCGCAAGCCGAGCAGCGCTTGAACAGACGAGAATCCATGAAACCGGAAAAAGCGGTCCTTCCTGAATCCATCGTTGACTATAGCGCTTCGTTAAAAAGCTTGTCTCATCATAGCACTAATCTTTTTAAGCCTGATTTTGAAAAAAATTGTTATAAAACTGACATTTCAGGAAAACTACATATGCAGTTGGTGCAAGAGTGCGAGGACTTTTCCTTATGCGTCCAAGTCCTCTAGTTCTTAAAAACTTTAGTTTTCGGAAACTTATTTGTCAAAAAACAATTGTCGTGAATGCGATGAATTGAACTGATGATGTATCCAGTCACCTAATTCTGTATTGGATCTCTTCCAGAAAATCACAAGTCTTGCAGGTGAACATGAAGTTGGGCGGTATTAACAGTCGTATTGTTGCCGATAACATTACACATAAATACATTATCGACCAACCAACACTAGTTGTTGGTATTGACGTCACACATCCAACGCAAGCTGAAGAACGCATGAATATCCCGTCGGTGGCTGCGGTACGGTTTTATACAACACTTACCCAGTAAAAACAAGCCAAACAAAATCACTAGTTTCCTATTACTTGAAAATTATTCAAATCATGAGATAACTTTTAGATTGTTGCTAATATCGACCTGCTACCACAGTCATACGGTGCCAATGTGAAGGTTCAGCGCAAGTGTCGTGAATCCGTCGTATATCTCCTAGACGCCATTCGAGAGCGTCTGGTATCTTTCTATAGGTGGATAACAAACCTCTACAATTCGACCTGATTTCTTAGATGACTGTGTGGTACCGCCAGTCCCTTCGGTATTACAATACGTTGTGGTTATTTCCACGAATCATGCCAAGGTGATGTGAATCCTGCCACAAAATCGTTAGTACTGGAGATGCAAGACAGTCCACTAAGGCAAAAAATGTCCTTAAGATAGGTTAATAGGATTACTGCCTCATTTCTCAGTAGAATTGATAACCGTGGTTTGCAAACTGGTGGGCAGGTTCTTCCATGACAAACACTTTGAACGTAATCTTCTCGTAAAACCAACTGCAGTTTAAGGAAATCTTTCTGGGATAAGATGTGAGATAAAATGAACTAATGACATATCAGAACCCGTTTATTTGTCTTTAGGAAAATTCTTTAACACTGGTGGAGATCACATTAGCATTCAGTGCCTTCAAAAATTAGAAAGTTTGTCATTCATAAAATTCTCTTGCTCAGGAACACGAATCAGAAGCCTACTCGCATCATCGTCTATAGGGATGGCGTGTCAGAAGGGCAATTTGCTGAGGTGTTACGCGAAGAGATTCAGGTGCGAGCGCTGTACATCACCATAACGCCATCCAGAAGATGCAAGACGATTTGGATAGATGAATTTCTAGACATTCACATGTCATTCGAAACTTTTCAAATTCAGGGTATACGGTCGGCTTGCATGATACTTTCACCAGATTATCGACCACCCATCACTTATGTTGTTGTTCAAAAACGTCATCACGCTCGAATGTTTTGTAAACACAGCGCGGATATGGTTGGAAAAGCAAGAAACATTCCACCAGGAACAACAGTGAGTTGTAGTGTTGACACGAGGCCATCTAATCGCTGGCTGATCTGCAATGACACTAATCAGATGAGAAAATTGGCCGAGTTCTTCTTTCATTTTGCTCTACTTACTCAACGTTCATCAAAGTGTATTTGCCACCTTATGTTCGTCAATGCAGAGTGTAACTCCAAAGAAAAGACAATTTACTTCAATCATTTACATGAGCCGTCGCCACATATAGTGTTCAGGTCCCAGCATTTCTTGCATTCGAATAGATTTCCTTACATTCATCGTCCACAGTGTTCTTCGAACATTTCGCGTGCTATTATGAATGTCCTAGTATGCTGGTCGAGTCGATTCTCCTTGCAATATTGCAGATAGCCGAGCTAAAGCCTTCGCGTGTGGATTAGAGGATAGCGTTGGAAAGTGGTTAGAACTAGAGCTTTGTTTTTGGACTGCATCGCTAACAACTCCGCTGCCTCATCCCCTCTAAAAGGAAAAAAAGAAAATTTAATACCCGTCTCAATTCTAGGTTGACACCGGTATCGTTTCACCGGAAGGGTTCGATTTCTATTTGTGCTCGCACTATGGTGTCCAAGGTACATCACGTCCAGCCAGATATCACGTACTATGGGATGACAATAACTTTAGCGCGGATGAAATGCAATCAATCACCTATGGGTATGTTGAGATTTCACCTAGAATGCTGCCTCCGTTTGAAGTTTAACTACGAAGTCTCCAAACGGTTCCATTTTCAGTATGTGCCACACATACGGACGTTGCGCACGTTCTGTTTCGATCCCAGCTCCAGTATATTACGCTGATCTCGTAGCCACCAGAGCTCGATGTCATATTAAGCGAAAACTGTAAGTTATGCCATAAGCGACTGCTTAAAGGAAACATCGAAACACCCCAGTAATACTAACTTCTAGAAGAATAAGTTTGATACTAGCGGACTAGACCGACTAGCAGTAGAAGAAATAGTTTTTCTAAGGTGTATTAGCATCCGTCTTTGAAACCAACAAAAGGGGTGGAACTTACTACAACTGTGAATAAATAAGTATTTGTCATCGAAAAGAACATTATTGAAACTATGAGGACAAACACTTCCATATTGCTGACAGTGCATGAGACAAATTTTTTGCCTTTGCGCTGCAGGTTATGGTATCTCAGCCAAGATCGTGAACTTGTGAGCAGCTTCTAAAAATAGAGTATTCTGACAGTGGCTGACTAAATCACTGGTAATGTAGACAGACTAGAGTAGATCTTGTACTAGAAGAAATGCTCCCCTACAGCATTTGCTGATTTCGAATGCGTCTCTACATGTCTCCATCTCAATACATGCAACGTTGTTGTTCACGATACTCCGGTTCTCTTATGGACGACACGACTGCAGCTGCCCAAATCATTGTTATTGATAAGTGAAGGAGTCTTAAATCAATAGCTGAACAAAAGAGTGGTTGCTAGACGATGACCGCTAATCCCATTCTCCTAGTTATATAATGTCCAATAAAAGAACCTACGAAAGAACCACTGATTATATTCAAAAATCACCTACACATCTAAAGACAAAATGAGCCTCTGATCAATTAATTGAGATTTACTGGAGTATATAGTAGTAAGATCCCTCTTCGTCTCTGCCGCCCTACTCTAAAGTTACTCTGTGACCTTCGCTCATTCGAGTGTGTCACGAAAAAAAATTAGTTTCTTTATACAAGACCCTTAGTTTTATTATTAACTGGGCAACTTGATGGGAGTTCGGCATAGAATTACCCAAACTAGTGTAGTCCTATTAGGGCAGTAAACCACTCATTGCGTTGAGGTATTAAAAAATGTGCGGTGTACTATCGTATGATGATAGTGAATATAGTGATAAGAAGTAAAACCAAGACATATATAAACCTAAGAGGTATGTCTCATTTTACTCGAACTCAACCGAGTGGCGCTTCCCAATTCCTAATCGACTCGATTGCAACTCCACCTCTAATAAATTCCCGCGAACGGCAACATATTCGATAGGATCTGCACAATGACTGCATACATCATAAGGTTTTCACTAGGCAATACAATCTATGCAATAAAGAGTTCCTGCATGCTTTTAATTCTTAATAAACAAAACTGACATTTTAGTGGTGTTCATGAATCAGATGGATTATCCGAAACCGGTTCCGTAGTTTCATCTCTATCCTCATTAATGTCCGTCGGCCGCTCACGTAGACGTCGAGAATTTGAAGCCGGTAATCAACTAAAATCTAACGTTCTAACATATGCTTTACTCTGTCAGTGATCAACACAAGGATATTTGTGCAACTCATACGTAATGATTGCCGACAGACGTGTCCGTCTCCGGTTGACTACGCTTTGCGACTTTCACATCATCAATGCATAGTATTTGGAATCTGTGGACAATTGTAGAAATGACTGCTTGTGTGTGTTCAGGTGATATCAACGCTCGTCATTCGAACTCGGATGCCGCTCTTCAGGAATGTGTATCGGTGACGGACAAGTTTAAGAGCCGCATGTACTTTATCTAGAGCTGCGGTCATTTCGAGTTTGAATTCTTAGTCATCTGACGTCTCCACTAGATCGCTTTGTAGTCCACGTTTTATAAAGCAGTTCTACACTGTGTGATTGATAAAATTGGCAGGAATTTAGTCTTGATGCATTGATACATCCTACATCACAAAATACACTCATCGGTTGAACAAGTATGGTTTGAAACTATGATTTTAGAAGGAAACAAAAAAAACAATGAATAAGTGGTAGGCAGCACAGTTCATCGAACATTAAATGAAACTGCTACAGACAATAGCAATGTGTTCGCACTTATTACATACACATGTTACACCCACTTGGTGAATATTTAGTGGAACCAGATTTCTCCTGCAAATTTTGGGAAACTGTCCACCTTATAAGTATCCATCGAATGAAACGTTCTTCGACTACTAAACAAACACAAACGTAAATTAAAAAAAAAAACAAAAAACTGTTAAATGATAAGTAAAAGTAAAAAGGTTAAAGCTCTCGGCGTTGAGCAATCGCTGAGGGATGCGCCATGCATTCGATTTCACTAAGCATCGTTGGAGGTGACTGAATGTATACCTGGCCTTTACAATGACTCATGGTGGCTTACCGATGTATTGAGCCAGTGCTGCTACCCTCCCAGACAAGTATGGTGCCAATTTGCCGACCCCGGAAGGATGAAAGGCTAGGCGAGCCTGGAGCGCGGGAATCGATCCCATGCGTAATGCACGGCGTCCTCGACCACTGCGCGACACGCGCGCTAGATGATAGTTAACCTGACTTCAAAAAATAATAGATGTTCTGCAACGTGTTTCCAAGCTCGTTATATAGGTCGTGATGATCGGAAATAAAACACATCGAGATGGCATGAAATATTCACAGAATCTGGGGTTATTTTCAACTATGTACAAAACAACCACAATGATGCTGAGATATTTGCAAAACTCCGGACCGCAGGTGCCTATGGTGGGAAACGAACGCGCTATTACCCTTTCCAGAGGTTAACGCGTTCACCACCACACCGTGCGGTTCCTTCGTTGCGGTTGTCATCATTGTGGTTGTTTCACATGCAATAGTACCCTGTTATGAAAATTATAATAGGTAGTAAATAAGTTAATATTGTGATTTCGACTACAGCAGTGCCCCAGCTTAATTCGGTTCGTTGCCGACTTGGGGTCCCTAGATCAATCCCGTTGACGGGTGATTGTTGATGGCACTGATCGATAAAACTAGCTGATAGGCGAAACGGAGGACCCGCATGGTGTGGTAATGAACGCGTTATCCTCCGGAAAAAGAAATTGTGATTCGATCTGTTCCGTGGCCCAAGTTTTGCAAATATCTCAGCATCGTTATGTACAAAACGCCACTGTAAACTCATCACACGGACAGGATACTGATAGCGACATCAGCATGGCCACCGGAAATCCGCTCTGGTTCCAGACTACTGCATAAATTTCCACGTAAGTGTAAAAGTTTCTGAGTGATAAAAAGACGACAAGAAAGCTCTTGTGATCAGCTGACGCTGAGATGGAGTGAACAACACAGGGCTCAGGCCAGAAGTCACCATTGCAGCAACCTGAGTCATTAGCATAAAACATATATCGCTTTTGTGATACGGCCAACCCCACACAACATCCACATCGGTGATTTTCTGATAGATCCACGGCTTATTATGTGTAATCGGTAGATCAAAAAGAAGAGAATCTGCCAGAAAATTGGCGGGATGGGAGACATCGCTTGCAACCTCTAGTCCAGTTATACGTGTGAGATAATAAAACAATATTCGTTTCTGGAGCGTTCAAAAACTGTTCAACACGTTCTGCTCGATCTAACCATATTAGAAGATAAAGTGTCCGGGACTGACTAATCCCCTGAGGGATGCGTCATGCACTCACTTTACAAAGCATCTTATTGGTGACTGAATGCATACCTGCCTTATAGGATAACCTTCGGCGACCCATCGGTGCATCAAGTGCATTCTTCCTTGTTTTATCTTCCTAGATAAGATTAGTAGCAATTTATCAGTCTCGAAAGAATGAAAAGCTTGATTAGCTTGGGGACGAGATTGAATCGTTGACCCATCTGACTATTCCAGTGCACATCAAACCACTGACCTACATTTGGCCCACAAGGACATTATGAAAAACATATTTCTTTGCATTCACCTAAAGATCAATAGCGTAAATAATTCTCGAAACACACCATAGCAATGGATATCGGTCTGAATAAAGAATAGGCTCAGCACTCTTCTTTAATGTATATTCCAAAGACAATAGTCCAGAAAACGACATTACGCAAACATGTTAGCATCCATGATATGGAGATCTGTGGCAGTTGTAAAGGTTGGTAAACAAAATAAAGAGTAGTAAATACCTTAACTGTCTAAGTGTGCATTATTCAATGAATAACAACTGTAGAATGAATGTAATGAGAATAGAATTTAAACAATTTACCAGATCGACTAGTTGACTACAGCATTCACTTGCTTTGTTTAAATCCTTAAAGTACTTTTAAGCGCTAAACGCTACTGCCATATTGCTTTACGCCATATAAAGTAAAAATACTTATCACATTCTTAACATTTTATTTTTTGCCTACTACAATTGTTCACGGCAGGATACTATGTGAAAGAGAACCATGATGATCCTGTGATACTTACAAAACTCCGAAGCGCAGGTGCCTGCGGTGGGCAACGAACGTGGTATTAGCCTTTCCAGGAGCTAACGTGCTCACCACCACACCATGTGAGTCCTTCGCTTCGCCTGTCTCTCAGCTACTTCTCTATCTACCAGTGCCATCAGCAATCAGCCGTCACTTATCACAGTGCCACACACATCAGCAGTTTCTTTATACAGATCCTGAATAATGGAAAGCGCGCACACACTGACTAACAATATTGGAAGATACAAATTTGTCAGTAATACTCAGAAATGCTAAAGAAAAACTAATTATTGAGGCCACACTCATACGAACCTGTTGGAGAATCTGATACGAACAAGTATTGAAATGGCACAACGTTGTTGTCTTACAATCGAAATAAATAATTGAAAAGTACATCATCATATCATTTTAATATAAAGGACTCTTTAGTTTCTGTTGCGACGGATAACTTAGTAGCATCATATGAAATTGATGCAGACAACTGTGAAGACAGTGCAAATTATCTTGTTAAAAGCTATGCATGAATCTAGTATTCCCCCGGTTAACATTTAAAAGACGCTAAAATATAAACGCTATAAGAAAAATGTTCACAAGTAAACGACGTAGTCATATCATTAACAATGCTCAACATACACACCAGTTAATGCGTCCTTCTTGATCGAGGGTCCTGCATTCCATAACCGGTTGCTATCTATCGCCTCAGCAACCAACGGAGACAAGTTACCGAATTCCTCACGAATTTTGCTTATTTTTAAATCGACAGCACGCAAATTTTCTACACACTGAGAAGCTGAAAAGTAGAAAAAGATGTGACCTCTGCAGAACTGCAGACTATGAATGCTGTGCACGTATTTAACTCACTCTTTGCACGATATTCCGTCACCGTGGCGTTTATTTGTCTTATAACTTTGTAGACCTTATTCACATAACGAAGTCCAACTTCCTAAACAAGAAAGAGAACAGTAGGAATATGTAAGTCTCACATGGCGTTCGAAACCCTACATCGAACACATTTGTTCAGAAAATGAGAATAGCAAAAAAACGTACAGTCAGTTTACTTTGCATACACATCTCAGCGTAATCTGATCCTGAATCAAGGCATTCTGAGGATGTCGATTGATTGCATATTCTATGGTCGCTACACATACTTATTTCATCATCATCGAAAAACGAGATATAATCGTCATCGCACTGGAACGTTTCATCACCTGGATTTTTCGAGAAACTCTCACGCGCAAATTCTAAGGGATGATCTACTCCTATATTTAAAACGTATGTTACCAGCAAATGAATAATTTCAACAAATAACATAGGAATTTAAAAGAACACTCACACCAAAGATGTCATCCGAGAGCTCTTCGTACCGAATACCCATTATTTCCAGTGCATCTCGCTGAGTTGTGTCATCAAAGGAAAGACTGGAATGGATTGACTCAGACTATATTCAGCGTTTCATAATGTGGAAAAAAGAAGCTGGTTAACTTGGCTGAAGTGCGGAAAACAGTGAAGAAGAACGTACTACTTTTCCGCTGGCAAATTCTCTTTTATGCACGCTTCCAGCCTCAGGCACAACGCTTTCATTTGATTGAAAGATTTCATTCGCTGATCAAGAAGGTTCTGCTCTGAATTCAAGACCTATATAAGCGGTAACAACAGTAACAATGGCGAAAGATGTTTAAAAAAATCCTAGAATTACTCGATTGGAGTTGAATACAGAGTAGCTCGTCCAACTTTGCGCAAATCGAAGCAACGAAATATAACTCTCGATATTCTGCAGTAATACATATATGAGCTATCTGCATAGAACCAAAGCACACTGACAAAAAGAAAACGGACAAATAATGGCTTCATACCGCAGTCACGACCCATTTCGTACATAAAACACCAACCGTCTCTAAAGGGGCACTCTGACTGTAGCGGATATTCCCAATCTTTCCCACTGAACTGCGCATATAATGAACAAATCTCTTTTGCTTTGAGTTTGAAGTCCATCCTTTTATTATAGTTGCAGTCCTTCCACTCATCATCTTCCAAAATAATGATGCTATCGTCCGAGTTCTACAGTTCAAATCATGAGAGCATGAGTTTTAAAAAAAAAGCAAAAATCAAAAAGATATTAGTCGAAAGCTGCTATTTCATCAGGCAAAAAATAATATTTTAGGCAATGTGTAACTAAAAGATCCAAACGATGAACTTCAGCATATTGCGAAGATCCAACACTCTCTTGGCTGTCCACTACGACCTCAATATCATCATCATCAGCAGCAGCAGCACTACTTGCCTTCGGTTGTGACAGCGAGTCAGTCGATGGGTGTTCCAAGCTGAAAGCACTGTATGACCTTGATTCTCTTAAGGAAACAAAAATGTGTTTGTAACAATTGCGTTATTTACTCGGCATAAAGTTTATTGGTAAAAGAATAGTAACGAAGAGTGAACAATTTGTCAAATCACCCGGTGAACATGCAACGTTAAGAAAACGACCGTTACGGACACATTTGTTCTCCTTGCTTGAACGTCATGTCGTCCAATTTCAAACAGTGGCACAGTCTACATAATAGGTGTTATCACGAAAGAATGCAAATAAATAAAAACAGGAAGAAAAGCTCTCGATTTTGACCAATCCCTGAGAGATGCACCATGCATTAGACTTCAGTAGGCATTGCTGGAGGTGGTTGAATACATATCTGGCCTTTATAATCACTCGCGGTAGTCTACCGATTTATCGAGCAAATGCTGCTGTCCTCCCAAACGAGTCTGGTTCCAATTTGCCGACCTGAGGGATGGGAGGCTTGGTGAGCATGGGCGCTGGGACCAATTCCACGTGTGTGTTGCAGGGCGCCTCCGATCACTGCGCCACAAGCGCCTTTATTGCAAAAACGTGAAAAATATTTTAAATAGTCGGAATTTACCAGCACATCACACGTATTCCTGACGAAAATCAAATTGAATCAAGTAGAAGGGATAGGTTCAAATAGTATCTGGAGGAAAACCAGTTTTCTGGCTTGTTGATAAGCTAACACAAGGTTGCTATAAACAGATTAGATTTGTTATAAAAGACCTCGAGTAAGGTTATCAATACACAAAAACATTGATTACCTACACAAGCTTCAGTGAAAACTGAAATTGAATGACTACCTGGTGGGATTCTCACATTTGTCGCGAGTTCCTTCGGGACGTCCACCGCGCTGCAAGCGATCATTCCTACGTCGCCTCTTAGCCATACGAATTAGTCCACTACTGAAATTACTTGTATAAGCACCTAAGACTACAAGTCCCACTTTTGTATTGTAAGCGGCTTTTAAAAAAAGTCGTTAACTGGCGACTCCATACATTTCTTATGACAACGTCGGTCTTTCCAACTATTTAGAATCATAGATACTGTTTAAACTTCCATTTGAATTCTAACTAATACACGTACTTCCGTACATGCGCGAAAGAATAACATCTGGATAACAATGGAACCTATTAAAAACGAAAAGAAAGGAGCTCAGTGACGTACTGATAAGCTCAACACCGAAGCCCTACACAGACTGCAGTGTTGCAGGTCATAAGACATTTTTATAGGATCGTCTTCAATACGATGAAAAACAACGAAGGATAAACAAACAAATAAATGTGAAGAAGAAAAGAATGACAGATTCTTTGTGAACTGCTACCCTTAGGTGAAGCCTGCTGACTTCTTTGCAGAAGACATAAGGGTTACTATGTTCAATCGAAATTCCAGAATACCACAACAACAGAGTTTTACCCCAGGAGCGGATCGTAGAACCTAGTGGACAAAAGACAGTTACAGAGATGAAAGCCTAAACTCAAACACAACTACAGAATGCAGAAAGACGCAAAAAACGTAAAAGGCGACCACAAAGACCGCAATCAATTGCGTGGCCCTGACGCGATTCTCCGGTTGGGACTATTTCACAAAGAAAATTTCCGAGAATGTCCACTAATAGCACTTTGGGTGGTGTTTCAAAAAGTGGTTCTTGGAAGAGTAATTTTGCTTGTGGGTTGGCATAGTGGTAGTGACCGCTTCTCGTTCACTGGTTTGATACCGCCTAAAGCCAATAAAGCGTCTTATCTCTCCCAGTAATAAATTTCTATGGGAGAAGTTCATTCCGATTCACAGTGTTCAATGAAAATGTCTGTATTGAAGACCTGGGAACGCCCTAGCACCACTACCTCTGGGTCCGGGTATCATCGATCCAACCACCATTTAATCATGATCGTGATGAAAATTAAAAAATTCTCAAGCTGTAATCAAAGCCACTCACGAAAAGTTCGAAGACCTTAGTGTCTCATGGATGCGAGAAGTAAATGTAATGAAAGTACTGGGATCTGTACAATACGAATATCGGTTCATGTAAGAGAATTATACTTGAGTAATTGAACGGACAAGGGAGGAAGCCTCTCTCTGATTCACAAGGGCTGGTGGATGCCAACGATAAAAGCCTGGAAACGCCCTAATACGACTACCTCGTAATAAAAAAAAGGATAAAGCTGTCGGCGTTGACCAATCCCTTAGGGAGCCCCAACGCATTCAACTTCACTAAGCACCTTTTGGAGGTGATTGAATGCAAATCTAGTCTTTATAATGACTCGCGGTGAAGTACCGATGCATCGAGGTTGTGCTTCTATCCTTCCAGACGGGTCCGGCACCAATTTGCCGACCCCGGAGGGTTTGAGGACTTAGTGGTCCATGGGCGCGGGGATCGATCCCATGGGTGGTTCCCGGGTGCCTCGACCACTGACTGCGCCACACGCCCCCCCCCCCCCCCCCCCCCCCCCCCCCCATCTCAGGATACTAGAGAGAATCACATGTAGCAAGGAGAGAAGATGACAGATTATATGGTTGTATGCGAGCCCACATATGGACCTAACTATATCCATAGGGAGAATGCTGGTTTGTAGTATGAAAGAACTGTTGTGGACTGCGCAACATCTACGACGAGCCATCAAAGTACCTAAGAGGAGTGCTGAATGAGGACGACATGATAAAATATTAGAATGTTCGAAATCTTTGGAGAATTCTTTTAAAAATCAAAAATAAACTAGATCCTTTGTGTCAAAGACCATCTCTTACGTGATTTAAATGTCAAGGCTAAAGTAACGCAAGAATTCATTCCTAACTGGTTTCTTTCTCAAATCTTAAAATCCTGCTATTATATTTGTTGCTATGCTTTAAAAGTAAAGTCTCCAACACTTATATTTTGACCTAGGCCTGCATCAACTTGTCTAGTCACTATCTTAATCGTCAACCATCACCACTAACAAGCGCTACGCTAAACACCAAATGTTATAGAAACCTCCGTCCGTTATACAAAGCAGTGTCATTTTTACAAGTTCTGAGCACAAACATCGGATAATAAACGTCAGCTGCAAAGGTTTTTTACAAGGGATTTTAATGCCAAGAATCTTTGCTGCAAGAAAACCACTTCGTATTCCTCCTTCTGGTGCTATAAAAAGCATGAAGAACGACACCACTTCAGGCTTGTGCAACATTATGATGAAGAATCTCCAAGCTGAAAAGTACGAACTATGCCCATTTTCCCTCATCATTTTTTTTTTAAACTCCCGTGTACCACGGGAAATTCTGCGTCATTTAGCCCATTCGGCATCATGCGCGTCGACTTCAATATGTACGCTGGTAGGCATACGGACAGGCTCACAAGACAAACTTATATCGCAAGGTTTTTGAATTTTAGCCTTCTTGTCTTCAATCCTAAGCAAAGTCTAGACTTCACCAACTTCCACAGAAACGCTTATTATGTAGAGGTGCCAACTCGCTCTGATAACACCTGGATTTCATGGTTGTCGAAGGACACAGACGAGGAATGCTTCCGTGAATCACCAACATCCGCAATACTCAGTGCACTTCTCCTTCTTTCATAGTTCTGAATATTTAATGTCTTTCAAAACACGAATAAACTGAATGGTCTATTTATGCGGAACTGTTGGTTACTGAGAACTCACCAGAACAAATTAGTAGCCCAGTGATAAAGCACATAGCTGATGTTAAGCTCACGTGTTGGTAAATACGCCTACGCTCCGCAAGTTATGATGAACATACATGATAGGCATTACCCTGCCATTAAAAAAATGGTAGGCAGTAAATAAAAATTGACGACATTATGATTTATAGCGCAGGTTCACCTTAATTGGGTTCAATGCCGATTTGTGCTCCCGAGATCAAACCGGTGACGCGTGATTGCTGATATCACCTATACATCAATAACACGGCCGAGGGAAAGCCGAAACGAAGAACTCGTATGGTGTGCTGGTGAACACGTTAGCGCCCGGAAAGGCCAATAGCGTGTTCCGTCCACACCGCAGACACACACACCGACCAATGACCATCTCGTCCTACCGGGGTCGTGAAATTGCTACCGGACCTGCCTGGAAAATCTTCATTTCCTGCAATCCAAGTGGACGCTTGGGAATCCGAAGATGCCAGGGATAATTGGGTTGACTGGCACTCAACGACATTCATAGAGAATACATTAATGCTCAAGCAACATGGGAATCTATGTGCAAAAAGCTGGTTGTGTTTCGCATAATACCCTGAGATACAGGCCAAACCAAGAAGTAGGACTGCATAGTATGTGGTGAACGCGTTAGCCCTCGGAAAGAGCAATGGCGTGTTCGTTCCTCACCGCAAACACCTGCAGTCCCCGGTGCTCTGCAGGTATCTCAGCATCGTTGCGGCTGCATTTCGCTTAGTACCTCACCGTGAAAAATTGTGGAAGGCACCAATTAAAAAGTTAACATTTCCTCATGCAGTTTCACTTTTGATATAATCACTCGGTTTCTTTGGATTTCGAAGTCGGGGTCTGAATTTTTTCAACATTTGAGTTCGCCGTCATATATGTTCTCAAACTTTTTAAAATTTCCTACAAAACATATCCTCGACGACTTCCTCTCTTCCGCTCGCTTCGATCCCTTTTATTCCATCAACAGCTGCTTTCTTCATTTTTTTGCCACTTTTGCGTCCTTTAAAATATGTATCAATGGTCACAATCCGGCATTGATAGCCATCGGCATCGCACCTTATTCCGGTACCTAGTTTGAAACCGTTTAGCCGACATTTCGCAATTCATTGCTGAAAAGAGTAACGCCGCATGCAAAACTCCTCTGTACACCTGATTGGCTCGGCTCTTCACAGGTTACCTGTCTGAATGCAAGGTCCCTACTCAGTGGAAGACCAGCAAGACCGTGTTATTGTTCAAGTAGGGTGATCTACACGATATTGGCAACTATCGCCCAATCTGTTTGCTGTCTGCCGTCTACAAACTTTTCACTCGAGTCATCCTAATTAGGATTGGCAGAACACTGGACGAAAGGCAGCCATGTGAGCAAGCAGGATTTCAAAAAGCATTTAGTACGATGGATCACATCCAGACGATAACAAGGCTCATAGAAGTATCGCGAGAGTACAAAAGACCGCTCTATCTCACTTTCATCCATTTACAGAAGGCCTTTGATTCAATTAAGATAGAAGCACTCATGGAAGCGCTTGATTGTCAAGGAGTCCCTACTCAGTACATAAAGACTCTTCGTGAGCTGTATAGAAATTCCACAACCAAGATATCACCATTCTACAACGATATTAACATTGACGTCGGAACAGGAATTAGGCAAGGCGATACCATCTCACCAAAATTATTTACCGCCACACTCCAGAACGTCATGCGAACTTTGGTATGGGATAATATAGGAATGAAAATCGATGGTCGGGAGTTACACCATCTTAGATTTGCTGATGACATCGTCCTTATAACACCAAGCATTAGCGAAGCGGAGCGTATGTTCGCGGACTTTGCTAATGCCTGTGGAAAGACTGGTCTTCGACAAAATCTTGCAAAAACCATGGCCATGAAGAGCGGATTGGTTTCGTATGCTCCATTCACGCTCAACGGAACGAATATCTCCGAATGCCCTAACTATGTCTATCTAGGTCGGAAAATCAACATGTTGAACGACTTAGCTCCAGAACTGAGCAGAAGGAAACGAGCGGCCTGGGGAGCTTTCAAGAGTGTCGACGATTTAGCAAAGATAACAAAGAAAACCTGACTCCGTGCGCATCTCTTCGACTGCACGATAATTCCTGTCTTAACGTATGCCCCAAAAACCTAGTGGCTACCTACGCAGGATGAAAGATCACTCAGCGTTATTGAATGAGCAGTCGAGAGGACGATGCTAGTGTATCCTGGGTCACACAACTAAGAACAGCGATCCGTAGCTTC